TTCTATACTAGCAATCTTTCATACACAAACGTGGGGCCATCCCAGCTTGTTTCTTACAAACAAGAAGAATAAACAGCAGGGTTCTTGCCCCTGATGGACCTCAGCCACCTGGACCATCTGGCCCTCTGGATTGGGGAGGCTGAGTGGCTGCCCTGAGCCTGCCCTCCTGCTGTTCCCCCACTCTCTGGGAGAAAGCCAAGGGGTGCGGGAGCACACACATACCATGTACAGGGGCCGGCTGCACTGATGGATGAAGTCCGTGTAGAGCACCATAGCAGCCCTCCGGAAAATCCCCAGATCTGCCGGGGACACAATCGCATGGTAAGAAGGCTTGGTCAGAGATAATACAAAACACTCCCACAGGGCCCGAGCTTTTGGGGTCAGGATGATGTCGTCTTCACCTCATAAAAATGGTGCTTTGCTGCTAATAGGTGCACAACCCATGTTTGCTTTAAAAATGGCACCCTCACCTCCCCATCTGTGCTCTCATGGAGGGTGAGCCACACCCCTGGGTGATACTGCAGGAGGGCAAGCAAGATGGACACGCGTAACCGGCAATCACAAGGAATTTGGGTGGCCGGCCAACTCGTTTAGGGTCTCTTCCAGCTAAGTTTCCCTTTGTTTACAGCAGTGGTTCTCAACCTTCTGGCCCTTTAAACACAGTTCCTCATGTTGTGACCCAACCATAACATTATTTTCGTTGCTACTTCATAACTGTAATGTTGCTACTGTTATGAATCATAATGTAAATATCTGATATGCAGGATGGTCTTAGGCGACCCATGTGAAAGGGTCGTTCGACCGCCAAAGGGGTCGCGATCCACAGGTTGAGAACCGCTGGTTTACAGTTTCCTCCAGTGGTGTTTCTTTTATAGCAGAGAGGTTGCGGGGCCCACCTTAAAAACACCCGCTCTCTCCAGAGGATGGGGAAGCTTAGCTTGTAAAAGTTCTAATCTGTATTTCTCAAAGTGGATATGAGTCAGTAAGCATTGAACCAAGGGATACTGGGTTTTACTGGGCATGTTCAGAAAGCCCAAACCTGTCCTGGAACAATAATCAAAGGAATGTAGTGAAGATGGGAAGACAAAGACAGGAAAGATTTTTTTAAAATGCAATCCTCCAGAAGGAAACTGTGAGGGTGCGTGCTATAGCTGCTACGGGAACAGAGACGGGATCCCAGACGGGCTGTCTTCCTCTGAGCTGTCCACACTGTAGACACCACATGCAAGCTGGGCAAGCATCCCGTGCAGGTGGATCCCGCTCTCTTGTGAGTGCTACCCCTGGGGTCAATGTAGCCAGCCTTCACTATACTCTTAGCCACATGGAGGGAAGAAGGGGGCCCGGGGCATGCCCATGCGATAGCCCAGAAGCCGTGCGCAGGCTGGGTGGGAGTGATCCTGGCCTCCGAGCCTCTCTCTGGCTCCCCGCCCACCACCCTGTCCAACCTGGAGGGAGGTGTTCTGGGGGCTGGCAGGAAACCCGGAGGGTCACGTTGTCAAGGAAACAATCTAGAACCCTGCGAAGGGCTGCTGGACATTACCTGTGTCAGACACCTCTGAGTCAGTGGAAAGCAGAGAAGACATGGGAAAGAGAAAGATCTGTAAGAAGGTAGCCAAACAGGTAAACTCCTGGTTATTTTCTTTTTCTCTCTGAATGGATGACTTGAAAGTTATTTTCTGATTAGAACAGTAATGTTGGCTCATCATAAAGAACAGAATTTTCCTGCCTGTCTCAGACATTCAGAAATGTACTGTTTCTCCAGGAGGAAATCAGATTTCTCTCTGTGTCTCCTTTTGTGTCCCGCTTCCAGTTTATAACCCACCCTGATCATGAGCACTCCCAGGGGTCCTTTTCTGGGGTCCTGACAGCACGGTAGCGACCTGGGCAAGCAGTTGTGCGGTTCTCTGTCCCACGTATGCAATGCTCTGCCTCACTCCTGTTGCCTTTCCTGTGTCCATGTTTATTTTCACGTGTGGCCCCCAGGGCCACAGAGAAAGAAGCTTGTGACTTGAGAAAGCAAAGGTAGCTTATGAAATGGGCAGAGAGGTGCCTCTGTCCACTAACTCAACTTCCTGCCTTTGGACTAAATCTAGAAGCAATTGTCACAATGAAATAGAGAGTTTTCCTTTAACTCTGGTAAGTCTATCACCACTTGGGGCAGACTCCTGGGTGAGGAAATTGAAGATATTCCATTAAGCTGCACACTGGCTCTCTCTGTCTGCCCTTTCAGACCTGCTTTCCACGCCCGGCCCTGCCCTGCGCCGCCTGGAGGCTGACTGGACATCGGTGGGTTTCCTGGCCCTGCCTAGGTTTCGACAATGGGAGACCCCGGCAGGAGACGGGAGGAGCAGAGGAAGGAGAGCGACCTCAGGGTGTTCACCTTCCTGGCGCCTTCCCTGTGTCTGTCAACCAAAGGTCACTGCTCTTTTCAGAGTGGCTGCCTCCCCACCATGCTCCCTTTGCACGTCTCGGTAACCGTGTCCTGCCTGTCTGCTGGGGCTCACGGAGAGGCAAAGCTGCTCAGCTGCCAGCCCAGGGTGCCCTGCACCCCTCCCATTCTTCTCTACCCGCCCTTGTCCTTTGCATGGTCCCTCTGTGAGCAAATCCTCCTCAATCTGAGTGTGACAGCTTTTTTCTGTTGAGACCCTGGCAGGTATATGTTACCTGGCCATAATGCATTAACTTTCTTCTTTTTATAAAGATAACTAATTCAGCATTGCAAAACTTATGGCGTATAAGTGGTATAAATGTGGTATAAATATATACAAAACTCCTCTATGTGTTAATGGTCATCATTACACATGAGTAGGTCCTGCTTATTCGTGGTTTTGCTTTCCTCAGTTTCAGGTACTTGCAGTCAACGGGGTCTGAAAATAATATTTTTAAAAATTTGATTTGTTTTTAAAGAGAGAGAGAGAGAGAGAGAGAGAGAGAGAGAGAGAGAGAGATCAGTTTGTGTTCCACTTATTCATGTATCCAGTGGTTGCTTCTCTACGTGCCCTGCCTGGGGATCGAACCTGAAAGCTTGGCGTATCAGGACGATGCTCTAACCAACAAAGCTACCTGGCTGGGCTGGGATCTGAAAATATTAAATTGAAAATTCCAGAAGTAAACAGTCCATAAGTTTTAAATTGCGCACTGTTCCGAACAGAGTGGTGAAGTCTGTGAGTCCCAGGAATTTGCTTGGACGTGACTCCACATCTGCACGCTGTACACCCACCGCCTGCCAGTCACTCAGTGGCGTCTTGGTCATCGGATGGGCTGTCCGGGTGTTTTGGTGCTTGTGTTCAAGTCGCCCTTATTTTACTTCATAATGGCCCCAAAGCGCAAAATATTGACGCTGCAATTGGGACATGCCAAAGAGAAGCCGCAAAGCGCCTTCTTGACGTGAAAAGGTGAGCACAATAAGATACTTGGAGAGAGAGAACACATTCACATAACCTTTGTTACAGTAATTGTTCTATTTTCTTATTAGTTATTATTGTTGATTTCTTATCATGCCTAATTTAGGAATTAAACTTTATCATAGTTATGCATGCATAGGGAAAAAACATAGTATTTATAGGGTTTGGTATTAGCCACAGTTTCAAGCATCCACTGGGGGACGTGGAACATATTCCCCGTGAATGAGGGGTGCGGGGGACTACTGTGTCTGCACTCAACTTTATTTTCCCAATTCTGAGCGAACCCAGAAGCTTCAGCTTATTTTCCGTTTGCAAGTTGACTTTGTATGACTTAACTCACCTTTGAGTCTGGGGGATGGGAAGTGACCAGTGCACCAAACCAAACGCTCTACACAACCAGCTAAAGATGCTTCCCTGGGGAGCTGGAGGCACGGGCATGTCAGTGCCAAGGGAAAACCTACCGGCCATGCCAAAAGGGAAGCCTAAACTGCCAAAATAAGACAATGTTTTATTTAGGTCTACTCCTCATAAACTAGCCACTTGCTTATGTAGAATTGCTCAGACCTGGGCAAGAGCGGTCTTGTATTCCAGAGGCCCTCATGCCTCACTGAGTGAGGAGTCTGCAGGGCAAGGGGACTCCTCCTTCCCCTCCAAGGCCACATTCTGAATTCCTGGACCCTAGGATTCCCTGCCCAGAAGGCTTTGACCCTGATCTGAGAGTCTGCATAGCCCCGTTCCTGGCTCTATCTTCTGGGGAGTGGGGGCGCAGATGGCACCATTGGAGCATGTACTTCCAGGGGCATGGAGTGGCCATTTAGATGTAGAACAAGGGTGTCCACATGCATACCTGTGAGACCCCTTAAGATGTAGGACAGAGACAGAGGTGGGGAGGAAAGAGGGAGGGGCTGGGGACCAGCTCTACAGGAGAGCTATGTTCTGAGGAACCGCGAATTCTAAATTAGAACCTGGACCATCTAGGTTATAATGAAGGCATATTCTATTTATCAGTTTGTTGGCATCTTTCTTGTCTTCCTTTTCTTCCATGAATTTAATAGCTTTTTTTAGTCTGCTTTATACCTTTAAAATTTATATGTATGGCATATGAGCTTTTATTTGCAATCTTTCCTTGGGCTCTGCAAATATGAGGAGTGGGCCTATGTTTATATATATGTAATTTTTTCTTGACATAAACCAAAGAATATTTGTCTGACTTCATGGGCCTCAAAATGGCAGGTGGAATTTAAATGCTCCAAGATGACTTGAACCTGCTCCCACGTGTGATGACTGACCAACAGCGGGCCAGAGCTGATATCTATGGGACACTCCGTGTTCAATGTTCACATGGTCAGAGGGAGTCCAGGAGGTACCCTGCAGCTAACATTGGCAAGTTGGTCTCAAATTTCCAGTCCCAGAACTTGAAAAGAATATATAATTTATTCTTGATAACCATTTATCATGGTTAAAGAAATGGCCCTTTTAAATGCCACAAAACAAACAAACAAACAAAAAAACATCCCCCAGGTAGAATTAGTGGTATGGTAATCATGCTGTTCTGCAAATGCACTTTCAAAGTTTGGTGGATTGCAAAGCTTTTGGGGATGCCTCAGCTCTCAGGTGTGGTGAGCGTAGTTTCTCAGGTGACTAGTCTTTGTGATAGTAGTTTACTGCAACCCAGTGAAGGAGAGGAGGTTTTGGAGAGAATGTATGCTATGAAACACAATACAGAATTCAGAGCATGTATTCACGATGGCTGGATCAGTGAGAACAGTGTTTCCTCAGTGTGCTTAGCATTACGCAAAAGGCGACTCACCTATCTTGAAACGACCCATGTAGTAGATCTGGGTGCTGAGGGCCAGAGAGGCCAGTATATGGATCGCAGAGAAGATGACCCAGAACCAGACGTCATTTTTCCCAAACACCTAGAAGAAAAGATGGAAGTTGCCTTCATCTGCGGTTTTCCCCAGAGAACTTCTAAGATCAGCTCCCTCTCAAATCGGCATAAGGAGTCAAAAACCAAGCTGTGCATGACTTTGTCCCCCTCACCTCCCCGCCACACTCCACCTCATCCCCTTCACTGACCTCACAGGGGTCTTACTACACCCAGGGCAGGAAACAGAATGGCTACCTGGCCAAATAAAAATGGAAAGCGGAGAGGCAGCTGAACAGCAGTGGTGAAGGGGTGAGAGGTTTAAAGTTGAGGACTACTGCTCTTCAAATAGCTGCAGACAGGTAACACTTGTCCATGCATGTTTAGAAAGTGGTTTCTAATCTCTGAAGCCAGTCTCTCCAGTCTTGTACATCCCTACTTCAGTCTCACGCGAGTGAAGTCCCAGCTTTAGATTAAAACGCTTCAGGGGTAGCTTTACAGGTGCCAATCACATTATAAAAAATAACTAGCCGAATAAGTAAATAAAATGCCACGAATGGATCAACGATGAGAGTGTCATGAACCAAGGATTATGATTAATTCAATTCTGTTCACCTGAGCTCCCCAAAACAAACAAACAACAAAAAACCTTCCAAGAGGGTTCGTTCTGAAAGGGAGGCTGAAGTCATGGGGAGGGACGCACCACTCCGAGCACCGTGAGTGTGATGACCAAGGCGAAGGAGGCGTAGGCGGCGTAGGCGCTGGCGTTGATGTCTGGGTGGCGGGTCTGGTAGAGCTTCAACATGCAGAGGCCAGCGATCATGTACATGAAGGAGGTGTCTGCAGGTTCAGAGGAGGAGCCGAGGCCATCAGGATCCAGTAGGCAACAGACAGATTTCTCCTCAGCCTCGGAAAACCCCCTCCCTTCAGCCCTTGGGGTATCCATTGCCCTTAGACTGTGTGGAGACCTCCAATATGCCTGCCTTGCAGGCATGTTCTCTAGGCAACCCCTACATACTCCACTTCTGAATCCCTCCAAAGAAAGCTGTTCCTAGTTCACAGAAGAAACTTACCTGATGCTATGACAAATAATTGACTATTCCCACTCGCAGGGGTGTTTGTGTTTAAACGCTGGTGTTCGACAACAATAACAGAAAAGGCCCTAGTGGTGACAATTAAGGCAGTGTGACAAGAAAATGAATCTTAGGTGAGCGTAGGAGGCCCTTCTCAGCATCCAGAAACATAACCACATGATGGCTGCTCCTGCATAGCTTTATAGGCGAGGGATTTCCCATCCGCTAGAAAGTAAATGTGGCTTAGCTGCATGAGAGTTATGGAAATGCAAGTGAAAACAACAATGCAATATTCCATGTTACTAAACAATCTAATAAGAATTTAAATACCTGACAATAACACACGCCAGTGATGATGTGGGAAATGGGAACTCTCCCACAGCTAGCAGGAGTGGGAATTAATGCTCTGGAGAGAAACCTGTCAGCTTTTGGTAAAATGGAAGATGCCCATCTTCCATTGCAAGTGACCCCTAAATTCTACTTTTAGGTACCCCAGAGAACCTCTTTCACATATACACAGAGCTGAACAGAAGGATGTTCATTGCAGCACTATCTGTAACAGCAAAATGTTGGTAACATCTGAAGGTTGTTCAATAGAGGAATTGATAAATGTGGTATATTTTTAGTACAGAATATGGCAATCCTTAAAAAAAATGAATGAACTAGCTGTCCTTGATTCAATATTGATAAATCTTGAAAACATATTATTGGATGAAAAAAGAAGGTTGCAGAACAGAGTGTAGTAAATTAATATCAATTTACTATAAATGTAGTAAAACTATAAAAACAAACTGGAAGAATAAATACCAAATTAATCATGGTTGCTGCCTCTGGGGAAGGAAAGAGGGGAATAAATTTGGAAAGTATTTCAAACAAGAAGTTTACACAATATTTTATTTCTTAAAAAGTAGATTTAAGTCAAATATTTTTAAATATTGGCATTTGTTCATTCTGAGTGGTGAATGATATTGTTTTCTATAGTTTTCCCTCTTAAAAATATTTTCTAATTTTAAAAAATTAAAATGTGACCAAGAGCCCTGGCCAGTTGCTCAGTGGTTAGAGCTTTGGACCTTGGACTGAAGGATCCGGGTTGGATTCCTGGTCAAGGGCATGTACCTGTGTTGCAGGCCCGATCCTGGCCTGAGTTTGGGCGTGTGCAGGAGGCAACCAATTGATGTGTCTCTCTCACATCAATGTTTCTCTTCCTTTCTCTCTCCCCCCTCCCTTCCACTCCCTCTAAAAATCATTGGAAAGGATATCCTTGGGTGAGGATTAAGCAAAAATAAATAAATAAAATAAAATAAGACAGAGAATTTCTGTGGTGTTCTAAGTTAATAGCCAGAGGCTAGAGCACAAACATAAAAATGACTGTTTTAAAAACCTTTCTTCTTGAGTACAGAGGACATTGTTAATTGCCTACCACCAGCATCAGCTCTTCCCTCCTGCTTCCTGACAGCAGCTCAGTGCTAACTCAGACTTCTTAGCCCTGCTTTCAATTCAGAAATGCATACCCAACAAGCCAATTTGCTTTAAGAAGGCAAACCTCACCCCTGGTTCCAGGGATAGGTCCCATTGATCTAAAGGTAATCTCACCTTCTTTGCCACTGTGATTAGTGTAGCAACCCAAGTCTGAGCTAACTAGCACATAGGGGACGATTCTGGAATGGGCTCATGACTGTTTAAGCTATTGAGCTGTGGGGGAATGTTATCTGGGGGGCTTTTAGAAAAGAAGTTTCCATGCTCTTAAATGAAGGCTCCTTAAGCTGTGTCCTCCAGACATTGTGGTGTGGAGACAGGAAGCCAGAATCAGCTGTAACTATATATGCCATCCTAAGTTCCCTGACAGCCTGAGAATAAAAGCAACAGGTGAGAAGTGGAACCATAGCTACTAGCCCTTTCCCCCTCTGGAGTTTCAGGTGGTGAGCTGAGCTGATAAATGTCCTTATTATTTCATTCAATTTTAATTGGTTTTTCTATTACATCCATCCCAAAGCAATCTAACTGCTAAATTAGGCCAAGTTACACTGAAGGACCTTTCTAGACACTAGTTGGTGAGTTCTACCTGACTTGCTGCCTAAGATTAGCCCACGGCTCACCTGCAGATATGGCCATGAGATCAACATTCAGTCTTAGGAGTTGTCTAGTCTAAAACGTGATCAGAGAGAAAATGTGTGGAAACCATGCCCTGTAGTGAGGTGCCCTCGGGCTTTAGCTCGTGTAAAATGTTGTTTAATTCTTGCAGGTATGACTTTGGCATTTTTGGGAAGGTCCCAGGATAAGACTCCTATAACTCAAATCCGTGTAGTTGATGTAAATTCTAATTACCAAATTGGAAGTTGGAGTAATTAGGGCAGATGTGGTAACAAGCACTGAGCACTCCTTCCATCATCAATGCGATGCCCATAGCATAGAAGAGACCGAAGTGTTTGGGAATCCCATACTCCTGGAAAAGGAGAAAGCGTGGTCAACAGAAAGATACCAGTGAGTGACATAGCACAGAATCTGAAAGCCCAAGCCTGGCCTCAAGCATCATAAACCATCATCACCACCCATAAGATGTTCTTCCCCTTTGTAGATCCTGTTTGGAATCATAACCCTTGTAGCTCCCACTTGTGATTCACCCACCCTCTGCTCACCTTGGCAAAGATGTCCTTGGCATCCAGGGCTCTTCGGTGGAGAATGTCCCGGCGCAAGACTATCAGCAGGAAGAGGAAGCCCAGGAGCACGTGCCCCAGGTTACTGAGAATGTTATTGAAGGCACTAAAGGGATGAGAGAGAAACCATGAGAGAGTCAGGCAGTCAGAGAGATTTAGAGAATGAATGCATGAATTAGCGAGGGAACTCAGCATTCGTGTTTTCCACCACTAACCTTTTCATAAGATTCCAGGACTGGAAAATCATCAGAGACCATCTTTAACCTTTCATTTTAGGATGCCAGGCCTGTAAAATGTGGCTGCTTGCTCTCAGGGGTGCCCACTATGCTTCCCTATTTTTTTAAAATATATTTTTATTGATTTCAGAAAGGGAGAGGGAAAGAGATAGAAACATCATCGATGAGAGAGAATCATGAATTGGCCGCCTCCGGCACGCTCCCCCGGTGGGGATCGAGCCTGCGACCCAGGCATGTGCCCTTGACCGGAATCGAACCTGGGACCCTTTGGTCTGCAAGCCAATGCTCTATCCACTGAGCCAAACCCGGCCAGGACTATGCTTCCCTATTATGCTTCCAATCCTCTCTGGTCCCATGGGCACTGGCATGGAATGAATCCTGGGAAAGAGAGATGCTCCAAAGATGGGCATTTTGGGCAAGTGTTTCAGCTATAGTGTGAGAGGGAATTCTCATAGATGGATCTGTGTTGTGTCAACACTCAACTCTGAAGGTATGAATATCAGGATGTTAGCTGGTCACAACCAGTGGCTTTAATTCAGAAAACTTGTTCTAGAAGCCAGGCTCCCAACTCCCAGGCTAATGCTCTTTCCACTTTTGGAGGCTGCAGCATGGTCTTAGGGGCAGCAAGTGTGGTTCAAGTTCCTACATCACTGACAGCTGAGGGACCTTCAGCAAGTCCTTACCTTTCTAAGCCCTAGCACAGTGATGGCGAACCTTTTGAGCTCGGCGTGTCAGTATTTTGAAAAACCCTAACTTAACTCTGGTGCCGTGTCACATATAGAAATTTTTTTGATATTTGCAACCATAGTAAAACAAAGACTTATATTTTTGATATTTATTTTATATATTTAAATGCCATTTATCAAAGAAAAATCAACCAAAAAAATGAGTTCTTGTGTCACCTCTGACACTCGTGTCATAGGTTCGCCATCACTGCCCTAGCATCTTCATCTACAAAGGAGGATGGCGACAGTAACACTGTCTTCCTCATGAGGTTGTTTAATGGATTGAATGTACTTGCAGCTCATGCCCGTGGAAAAGTGTCATCACAACCTGGGACCTGATGTTTTCAAAAACATCCCTGCCCTCGCCTCAGCAGATTATTTTTAGGAACATTTCCTGATGCCTCATACAGGAATGCGAGAAGCATGTCTGGTCTCAACTTCTTGATTTAAATTCCTCTTTATCCATGACTGGGGTAGTTTTCCACAGGTGTTTTTAGTATTTTTTAAAAACTGAGATCGCAACATTACACAGAAAGGCCTTTCTAAAAGCCTCATGGGCAACCGGTGGGGTGGGCTTACCTCAGGACGCCCAAAGGGTGAGCACAGAGGAAGTTGTAGTAACAGATGTCCTGGTTTCCAGTGACATTTACCACCTGCAAAATCAAGAGCGAGAAGCGGAGATGCAGTTTTTCTCCGTCCCCTGAGCCAAGCCTGAAATCACAAAGAGCAGCACTGCTCACAGTGATAGACTGTCCGTGACTCAGTGCAACCAGCACTCCTCCTCCTCAGGCGGGGTCATTATCTGCCACTCCCCTCAGCACAGGCACATTTCCTTTAGATGCTACCATCTTGCTTTGAAGTGAAATATTCTGTCTTCCTCATTACACGGCCTCAAGGTGGAATTCAACTGAGTTTGTTTCCTTTGTTCTCATGATAAAAGGAGTATCAAAGGATGCTAACATTGGGACATGCCTATTAGGACTGCCAAGATATGTCCTATTTTCTAGATGAATGCTGGTAGGACATGAAGCTGTCCCATCCTCTGTGAAAATAACCACAGTGCAGGTAGACACGAGGATATGGTGTTCAGTTTTCCATATTTACCACCGTCTCTATCACCAAGAATCTTCCCAGACCACAGTATAGATATGTCTTCTGACAGGGCCCCAAAGTATTCAGAGAATATTTAGTTTATAAATTGTGGTATTCAGACCGCATAAAATACTTGTTCTCGTAATGCAGTACATGCAGTAAATATGAAATTGGCTAAATATTATTAGAACTTTGGTTCTGAAAGTTGGCTGTACACTGGAATCACCGGGCATTTAGTAAGTATTGATGGCTAGTTCCACTCTAAGAGACTCTGATCTAATTGCTATGGGGTACAGCTTGGACACCGGGATTTTTAAAAGTCCCCCAGATGATTTTAATGCACAACAAAGTTTGAGAACTGCTTCACTGGGGACACCTTCAGCTTCCTGCTAATCTAAATGGACTTTCTCACAGAGAATAAATCCTAGGGAAGGCCACTCAAGTGACCTGGACCCTTGGACTCTATGAAGGAGTATTAGGGATTCTTAAACTATTTTAATTATTATTTATGTTTATTTGTTTTTTATTTTGTTTTCTTTTTCTTTTAATATTTTTTTTAGTTTTATGAAGCTAGTTTTACTTTTACAAAAAAAAAATTTTCCCTTAGTGAGAGGGCACAGGCTAAATGAGACATCAGGCATCTTTGTTTTGATCTGGAAACTTATTTACTCATTATCCCATGATGGTCAAAAGTTCAGACTGGTAAATCATAGGCACAATTGATAGATACTATGACTGAATGAGTGCAAGGTAATAATTTCGGATTGGTAGACAAAGCAATACAAGTGGTCCCAAGCCTCTCTCTGATAAAACAATTGGGAATTAGATTTAAAGATCAAAGATGAAGCATTGGAGAAGTCCAATTAGAACCTAAATGGGAAATTAATTTTTGGACCAATCCCAAGTTATACCTTTTTCTGTACATCACAGCAAAGCTCTCTCCCTGCAGTATGAGAACTTGGGTTCTGGGGTCCAGGGCAGCACTTACTGTCTGGTAGGTGATGACCAGCTGGATCACAGGTAGTGCATAGAACACAGCGATAGTGATGATATTCCTATGCAGGCGGAAAGAACCGGAAATAGCTATTTCCAAATTAACAATGAAATCTTCATTCAAGTTTTTAAAAAAGAATGCTTTCACCCCATAACTCCTTAGTCAACTCACAAAAGCAATTAGAAACTGATAATGTGGTTCTTGTTTCTCCAGTCAGTTGTAAAGCAGTGTAAATAATACTTGCTTCTGTTTTAACCAAATTACTAATGAGAATCTATCGCTTAAGGATGTTAATTAGAGGAAACGTGGTCAGAATGCAAGTCATGGGAGATGGATCACACAAAGGAATGTGGCTCTCTTAGATTCCTCTTAGTTCCAAAATGAAGGTTCCACTATGAGATTCCATGTGGCCTTCACTGTCCCTTGTTTTCCTTTAATGTCTGAATCCAATAAAGGGGAAAATAATTGGGAAGAGAAAGGAATCAGAAGATCCGTCAGTGTCAGCCTGGGATTTTGAGGGAGGGAGGGGCCCTTGCCAGGCAGCTCAGCCTCTCAGCTCGAAGGGAGGTGGCATCAGTGTGTTTGGTTATCCTGGGGTAGTTTCTAGCTACCCTGAGATGCTCTAGGCATCTAGTCCCTGAAATTCCTGGTTCGTTCAAGAGCAAGGCCTGGTGAGGAGAAGAGGAGATGGCCGCAGATTAGCATGTCTCATGCAAGGTAGTGACATTAATGTTATTGTTGCATTAGCCTCTTGGAAGAGAATTTGGTGTGCTCCCTGCACATATGGGAGTCTACTACCATTCTTATTTTTTCCTTTGTATTTATTTAATTTAGGGCTGGTTGCCTTTTATAATTTATTTTTCCTATGGAATGTGGCATGGATTCTTGAAACACCTATATCTATGCCTCATTAAACATTAAAACCTGTAATATAAGTGACTGTACCATATACAAAAAAACTTTAAATTTTGATAAAGATAACTATGGCCCTCTTGGTCATCTACTCACCAAAAATAAATCTTATATTTTTTGCTGATGATTCTCCGGTCCTTCCTGGACAGATCTGACAGGTAAAGGAACATCTGGGAAGCCAAATAAAAAGAGAATCAAAACTGTACTTGCTTTTTTTCCCCCCAATAAGATACAAAGGAGAGCTTTACAAATTTCAGTTCAATCCCTTACTAGGTAATTAAATTTATTTAACAAGATTTTTCTTTTAATCTTGTTTATCCCAGCATACCATAATAAAAATCTTAGTATTTCTTCTTGGTCTATTAAGGATCCAGCAGCTCTACATGGCTTGTGGATCAAGTATTTGTACACGGAAATCCCCCACATGCCACATCTAGGATTACATAATGTAAAACTAGTGGGAATCGAATTCTTCTTATATCTCAAGAATTGATTTCCCAGTTTTCAAAGAGGTCCACAGTGTGGTTCTTGAATTGTAGGACTGAAACTGTGCAATTCACCTTCATACACCTTCCCGGATAAACACAATATAGTAAGTATACACCAGAAAGAAGCACACTTTACTCCTAAAGGATGATACGCACAGAACCAGAAAGTCTTTCCCAGCTACACCCTTCAGTGAATCTGTTCTTCCATCTGGTTGGATCCCTCTCTCCTTTATTGTCCATAAGCTGTCACTTCAGACCCTGAGAGTGTTCTGATGCTCTATTCTCTTTAATGTTCTCATTTTCTTCCTCCAGACAGAAGTGCTAATTAGAGGATTGCTTCTAGTCTATAGCTATAGTTTACCTAAAAAGCCCTTTGGGAAATATGACTTTCGCCTGAAGGAAAACAAATAAGGACACAAAGGCATTGCTGAAGTTGTAATCAACTGCCCTTCAGAGAGGACAGCCAGGCAGAGGTACCTTGGTCCGGATGACGTTCTTATCACTCTCAATGTCTGGCATGGTGTCGAAGTCACTCTCCTCCACGGAGCTGTCTGAGTCTGACTGGTATGGCTGCCCCCCATCAGAGGAGGACATCTGCCTGCCGGGACTGGAGCTTGACTCATCTGAAACAGAGAACGCTCATCTGCCTTCCAAAGTCCAGAAGAACCCAGGTTGCCCATTCTTCTCTGCGAAAAGCACAGTGCTGACTCATACTAGTAAAAACTAACACCTTACCCACAACACATGGCCTTTCTCTCAATTCCTCCTCAACGAACTTTTAATGTTCCTCTTCTATTTTTAAGAATATAAAGACATCTGCTCTGTTAACAATTGGACGCAAAGATAATATGCTATATTTCCTGTTTCATATTTAAAATATGAACATAAATATATAAATATATGCATGCACATAGTTATGTATAGCATCTACCACATATACTTGTCAGCACACCCATATCCAGCAGCTCTCCATGGCTTGTGGATCAAGTATTTGTACACGGAAATCCCCCACATGCCACATCCAGGATTACATAATGTAAACAACATTCTCAGGAAGAGGAATCCTTGTGTTCCCGTGAACACTTCCCAGAGCAGATGGGAATCTGTGCAGCTTGATGAACACATGTGCCGAGCCTACTTCCGCTTTATTTCTTCTGTTCAGATGGCTAAACAATAAAAAAAAGCTCCTGTTCTGGCAGAGCCAGAAATAAGCCGCCTGCACTGAGCCCACATGCTTCTCAAAGTTACAGAACAATAGGGCAGGGATACAGGATCCCAGTCCCTCTACACTGACATTTGAGGTGCAGCATTCATAGGTCAATCAACGTCATGGAAGTGCATGGAAGCGTCAAAGCACTCCTACTCCAAAAGACAGGACTGGGAATTCTGTTTCCTTCAGGCCACTTAATGAACTCTGGGGGTTGCCAGGTGCATGACTGGGTGTCAGTGAGCAGGTTCGATTATGAAGTTAGCCCAAAGGAAAGACTGGGGGGCTTCAGCCACGGTCACCTGCAGCTCAGCCTTAGTCTTCTGACCACCCTTACTCCCCTGAAACCTGAGAATGAAACAGCTGGTCAGGTGAGGTCGGGCTCCCTAACATCAGACTCTGACACATCTTTCAAGTCCTCGAAGGGCTGGGTATGAAAAAACCTCCATGGGGGCCTTGGGATGTTGATGGCAAACCATTATAGGGAATTCTGTTCAAGTGTTGCTAGCAGATCCAAGAAACAATAATAGAACCGGAGAAAGTTAGAACTGGAAGGAATCTTCCAGCTCATCCAACCAATTCATTTATAAAGACCATACAGTCTTACTAGTATGTGATGACTGCCTTGCCCGCTCTCACAGTCATTAGTGGCTGGAGAATTAGGAAGCACTTCCATGAATAGACTCGTAGGAAATACCTATTGCCCCATAGCTGCTCCCTTCGGGGGTGCTGGCAGCAATGGGATGTGACACCGCCAGAGTTCCAGAGCCTGTTAAAAAGCAAAGCGAAGAGGGACACACTTTATGTCCAGTTGCTAAAACAAAGGAACACAACACACTTCTATGTAGTTTGAATGATCAGCACACAATATTTTAAATTCGATATTCTTTTCACCCTAATACAGGAGTCACCAAACTGTGGCCTACAGGCCAAATCTAGCCTGCCACCTGTTTTTCTATGGCCCTTGAACTAAGAATGACTTTTAAATGTTTAAAAGATTAGAGGGAAAAATCAAAAGGAAAATAATATGTCATGACAGGTAAAAATTCTAGGAAATTGAAATTCAGTATTCATATATAAAGTTGAATTGAGAGATAGTCACACTCATTTGGGTATGTCTATGGCTGGCTTTAGCTACAATGAGCAGGTTTGACAGAGACTATATGACTGGCAAAGCTTAACATATTTACTGTTAGGTACTTTAGAGAAAAGCTGCTGATTCTCGCTGGACAGTATTGCAGAATCACAAGAACAAAGGAGCATGGGTGCTGAATCCCTGTGAGCAAGGCCACCAATGAACAAAAAAGTCAGAAATAAACGCCTGTGATTAAGGCACTGTAATTTGGAGGTTTACTTGTTACAGCAGTTAGCAGAACCCTCATAATAGGCTGAAAAAGCCCAGATGGGAAAGGAAATTTCTGCACTCCTTGGAGCAATAAATAATAGTAACATGAGCTAAAGATGTGAAAGAACATTGGTTATTTTGAGGGATATTGAGGAGGTAGAATAGGAGTATCTGTTGCCAAGTGGTTGTTGTCAGTGAGAGAAAAAGACTCTAAAAAATACATCTGAGCAGGTATCTAGGCAGTTTCTGACTCTGACTTAGTGCCGCCATGTTTCTGGGCGCCACACTCATCTGTGGAGACGCACGGGATTCTTCACCGTCTCCTGAGCTTTGCCAAGGATCTGGGGTATTGTCGGGCTGGTGGGGATTCCTTACTGAAATCTGCTTTCTGAGAGATGCGATTGCTTCTGTCGCAATACAGACAAAAAAAAAAAATCTGTAACTTGCCAGTCTCTTGTACTGTTGCAGGGAAATATCTTTTCAGTGAAGCCATAACTGAGAATATTCTTTCATATCCTCACTGCAAATATATTTCTATTTCTTCATTGAAAACATGGATCTTTATCGTTTACATTAATGCTGGAGTGTAACACATGTAAAAGGACCCAAAGCCTCAAACAACTCATCGTTTGTCACAGTTGGCTCTCTTCATTAGCTCTCAAACTACACTCCCACTAGTGGCAGTAAAATCATCCAGTTGTGCAAGCCAACTTTATAGTCTTTCCACTTTTTTTTTTTTACTCTTTGTGTGTCCATTCATTTCCTCCATGAAAAAAAAAATTAAATCTCAAGTCCAAAATATTTAGCCAGACGATGAGAGACACCTGATGGCCTTGGAGACTCAATTGCCTTCCTCACTTTGATGGCTCAGCAGCTGGACAGCAACACCGTGGAGCTAATGGCAGCATTCCTGGCTGTTCCCAGGGCCCTCAGAATGCAGACTCCCTGGCATTGTTCCTAGGCTTGGAGATCCCTTGATATATTTCTTATTATTTAAAGAAATATGTTCCCTGGCCTTTCTTGGACTTACCCATAATTGCATTGTATCAACACCATCTCTACATTTCATCCAATTTCCAGGCATAGAAACAGGTTACTTTCAGACTCTTAATGAGAGATTAAATCTTTTGAGCACATAACAGTGTTATGGGAAGATGGTGACTGCAAATTGACTTTTCTTTTTTTCTTTTTTTACCTAGGACAGATTTGGCCATAGTTACAGCACAGAGCTCTGCTGCTGCTACTATTGACTATAATTAGTACTATAACAAGTACTAACACTGTTACCACCACCACTCTTACTATTACTAATGCTTCTGTTACTGCTGCTGTGGCTGCTGCTGCTACGATCACTACTACTGGCCAATGGTTATTGAAAGCTTACTGTGCGTCAGACACTCTTTTGAGTTCTTTACAAGAATTTTAATTTTTCAACAACCCTATGAAGTGGGTGCTATTGTTATCACCATTTAAAAGACAACAAAAGGGGAGTTGCTGAGAGATCAAGTAATTTGCCCAGAGTCACTCTGATATTGGGTGGATATTGGTTTATTATATTGGTCTCAGCTAAAATTTTTCTTAATTGAAAGAAACACAAGGGTTTTCCTTCAAAATATGAATAACTGGCAGTAAGCAAGTTGCTTTGGTGGAGTGCTCCAGAGTATCTTTCAAAAGAGACAAACAGGTTGAGGCTCATGCACATCTCCACTACCATAAGCACAATCTTTGCTCTTTGGATTGGCTGCTGTGCTGGCCAATGATTCCTTACTGGGCCATGCTCCTGCCTTCTTTCCGTCTAGTTCATTGTGGGAAGTCTCACAAAAATCACTGCATTGATCGTATCCCTCGGTGCTATATTCAGTCTTTTCCATTATATTTCCCTCAGTCCCTTTCACGTTTTTTTCTTTTCAAGTGTAAGCCCCCTATTTTTAACCATTAACTGCTGTCCCTTATTTAAGATTTAATTAAAAAAATAAATGTGCAAATAGTAAGTGAAGAATGACACTAAAATAATAAAACCCAGAATTTTTGGCATTTTGGTGTTACTGAGAAGCCCTCTGAGGAGGTAAGCAGAAGTGCACATAGGAAAATGATGAGGTCAGTTTTGGCAGGAGGTTGTAATGGTTTGTGGGAGCCAATGGTTTTTGTGTGTGTGTGTGATCAAAAGAGAAAAAAACCCCAAACAAAAACTAAAATCAAAGCAAGTGAGAAAGCAAAAACAACCACTGTTTTGTTAGGTGACAACTCCATTAAAAAGAAAAAGCCAGCTGTGTAGGTCTGTTCAGACTTGGACGTGTCACTGATTTCTGCACTCTGCTCTGCCTCTTTGTGGGAGCCAATGGTTTTTGTGTGTGTGTGTGATCAAAAGAGAAAAAAAACCCCAAACAAAAACTAAAATCAAAGCAAGTGAGAAAGCAAAAACAACCACTGTTTTGTTAGGTGACAACTCCATTAAAAAGAAAAAGCCAGCTGTGTAGGTCTGTTCAGACTTGGACGTGTCACTGATTTCTGCACTCTGCTCTGCCTCATTCTGAGCCAACAGCAGGGGTTCTGTGACGATTAAGAACATCAAGATTTTCATGTGCAATATAATTGCCAGCACGTAAAATGTTTGAACTCTGTGGACTTTTATAGGTATAATTTAAATATATGATTGGTCAACATTGGATAATTTTTCTTATGTCTAAAACATGGGTTTCAGACATGAAATCCAAAGCATTTTCTTCCAAACTTCAAGTATGATCAATGGTCCTAGAAGGCAAGCCATTTTTACACTTATCTGTATGGTACTGAGAAAGCAGAATTAAATACAAAAATATTAGCTCATAGGACAGACCAAGATGTTCTAGCTGGAAATAAGCAAACTTATAAGGTTGTGAATGAGCTAATCTAATTGAGGAAACTTGTTCTGTTGTGTTTTTCTCTGAGCACAACCCCCTTGCCATCTGTCTACTTTACTAACATAGAGAAAGATATGCGTTCATGCTTGCTCTTTATGTTAAATGCTCTGTGTGAAGGGAAAAAAATGTCATTTCATTCTGAGTATATTTGGAACTTTCAGGGACTTCATATTTATAACTGTCCTGCCTCTTTCCATTTCTGAACGCAGGAGGTGGGAAGCTGAAGAGGGAGTCGGAAATGATGTGAACTAGCTGCCGTGAAATTCCATTTTTGTGTCAATTGGCTGCCTACCCCAACTAATTTCATGTTTTGTTTCAAAAGCTGAGGAGAAAATGAAGGAAACCATGAATCTTTGTAGAGGGATATAAAATTCCTCTCAAAGGAAAAACTCAGCAAGAAAAGTCAAGGAAATTTGGAAAAAGAAGAGTAGAGGGTCAGGACTAGCATTAGAGACCCATCGCCCCAGAGCCCGGTGATGCCTGTGCTCCTTGGTGTCTCCAGACTCAACACACTGCTTGTCTTACTCCCTCTGAACCCTGCTCTTTGCTGAGAGGCTGACTCAATAACGGCTCTATCCAGGGAAGGGTTCACTGGATTGGCCATATGGTTCTTAAATGTACAAACCTGACAGGTTTGTCAAGCTCCCTCACTTGAAAAAGTGACCTTGCCTTATGCTACACCCAGGTTCGTGGTGACAGCTCAGGTGCCCCACAGGCCTGTGAGGTATGCTTCATTCATCTCTCTTCCCACTTGGTGTCTGAATTTCTGTACAGACTCTTTAACAATGATGAGAAATATAGGTTTCTCTGCTGAGAGAGCCAGTGGAGGAAAGGTTTTTAGAGCACAGAGCTTTTTCTAGTACTCCTCAGATGACCCCAGAGAACCTTACTTTAAGTCCTACGTCAGGGGTTCTCAAACTACGGCCTGTGGGCCACATGCAAATACAAATATTGTATTTGTTCCCATTTTGTTTTTTTACTTCAAAATAAGATATGTGCAGTGTGCATAGGAATTTGTTCATAGTTTTTTTTTAAAACTATAGTCTGGCCCTCCAACGGTCTGAGGGACAGTGAACTGGCCCCCTGTTTAAAAAGTTTGAGGACCCCTGTCCTAAGTGATGAATGGAGAATACATTGTCCCTTCAAGGACAGAAGAAGCTCTTTACCAGCACTATTTCCACTTCATCTGGCTCTAGGGTCTCATCTCCTTTTTCATCCAATCCTATCTAATAAAGAGGGACTATGCCAATTGATCATCACACCATCGCAAAGATGGTGGCGCCCACAGCCAATAAGGAGGAAATATGCTAATTGACTGCCATGCCCTCAAAGATGGCGGTGCCCACAGCCACAAGATGGCGGCGCCCGGTCCCCTCAGCACCGCTGGGGTGGCAGGTGTGGCAAGGCCGGACCCACCCCCAGGGGGGCCCAGCCTTCCTGTGCACCTGCCCCCAGAGTCCCCCAGTCCCCTCAGCCCCTCAGCTGTCCAAGGCCGGCCCAAGGTGCAGGCAAGCCTCGGATGGCAGCTGCCCAGCCACCCAGGGTCGCCCGAGGCTCAGGTAACCATGGCCGGCCGAGGCTTGTGCTGCCGGCAGTGGCAGCAACAGAGGTCTCAGGCTGGGCTGAGGGACCCCCCCTTCCAGTGCATGAATTTTCATGCCCTGGGCCTCTAGTGAAGTATAAAATAAGTTCTTTCTCTTTTTAGGATAGTTGGAGCCAATGTTGACATATTTCATATAAAACTTAAAGAACTGCAGACAAGTCAAAGGATAACAAATGCAGAGGAGTCGGCAGGTTCTCCAGATGCAGCCTTCCTGTGGTAACTTAACTAAAATAGTGCTGCCACCAAGCCCCCAAGGCATTTCCTGGAGCTCTGAGCTCCACTGAACTTCCTGGAGCTCCACAGTCACACTAATCTTGGCCCTGGGGAGAGACAGACATTTCTGAATCCTGGTCCTCTCCAAAGGTTCCTCCCTGAATGTCTCACTTCAGCTTCCAGATAAGGTGCCTCTCTGAGGCTGGCTTATCAATGCTCTGTTTGATATGTTTAAAAAAGTCACTAACTGGTTTTTCTCCAAGGTAGATCTTGTCTTCTCTGCTCTTGTTTTTTTTTTTTTTTAATATATTTTATTGATTTTTTACAGAGAGGAAGGGAGAAGGATAGAGAGTTAGAAACATCAATCAGCTGCCTCCTGAACACTCCCCACTGGGGATGTGCCCGCAACCAAGGTACATGCCCTTGACCAGAATTGAACCTGGGACCCTTCAGTCCGCAGGCCGACGCTCTATCCACTGAGCCAAACCGGTCAGGGCTCTGCTCTTGGTTTAAATCACCTAAGTCTCCTCTCACTAGTGGTCCTGTGACACGAGTTGTATTATCTTTGATCTTTCCCTGTAGCCTCTTTGCCACAAAGATTCTTTATTTCCACCCTATTTCAAAGCCCTTTGTGGTGAACTTTCTTATTCCACACTTCCTAACTAAGCTGGGATTTTGCTCAGGTATCCTCACCTGTGCCTGGCAGTCCATGTGTTTAAGTCAGTGATTCTCAACCAGGGATGGAGAAAATGTTTTGCCCCCAATATGACATTTGGCAATGTCTGGAGACATCTGAGTTGTCACAGGGAGGAAGTGTACTGCTGCATTCTAGTAGGTAGAGGTAAAGGATGCAGTTAAATGTTGAATTTCCTGCAATACATAGGACAGCCCCCAACAACAAAGAACTATCTGGCCTGCAATGTCAATTAATGTTGAGTTTGAGAAATCCTGGTCTTACCAAAAGATGATCTCATCCTAATTCTAGAAGTAGGCTTAATGGATCTGTGGGTAAATATGTTCCTTTGCAGTGACTGGTTTACCAATAAGTGTACAATTCACCGTAGGCCAGTAAAGTGAGAATAAGTTGCTTCTGAAAACATCCTTCCCTCTGGACATTGTCAAGTGAGGGTATAAATCTGATCCATCTCACCACCAGCACTGAGAGCAAAGGAGAGCCAAGGAAATGGCAGGGAAAGGACCAGAGCCACCTGACTCAGTCAGTCCTGAAGCCCAACTTTCTGCTCAACTTCCAGGGAAAAGAGCTTCATATGGTTTAGGCATGTTTGAGATATATTTTCTTGTTACTTGCAGCCACATGAAACCTAATTGATTCACCTTTATTCTTACCTTACCTTACCTTACCTTACCTTACCTACCTTACCTTCCTTTCCCTTCCCTTTTCTTTCCTTTTCCTTTAGTCACTCATTAATTTCTGCTGCCATCTGAAGGGCACCTCTAGCTCTTAGCTTATTTTCAGGGCCTTCTTGATTTTGACAATCATCTGGCCCAAGTCCCAGCTCTGTTCACCTATGTTTCACTGTTCAAAAGAGTCTTCTAAACATGGTGTTCCTTTAACTATCATTATAATAATAAAATGACTTCACTCATACAATAAAAATAACAAAGTATTCATTCACAGAGCACCGAATGGGATCCAACCAATCAGGCTTTCTCAGTTCAACCAGGCATAAAATAAGAGCAAAACCTGGGGAGTCCTGGCGAGAAAAAGGTGAAATCCAGAGAGAAGGCAAATTTACCTAAACATTTTACGAATAAAAGGGAAAGTAGTATTTAGCATCTTAATGACAGTAGAGCAGGTTTCCTTGCACAGTCTCTTATAATGGCTGTTGAATGTTATTGTAAAAAATTGCCTGGGTGGCTGGAAAAGTAGACCTGCTGACAGTAAGGAAGACAAAAGTCAAAGGAAGGCAGGAGATGCAGCAGGGGGGAAATTCCTGCTGGTTGTGTGTGGGGGAGGGGCTCAATTTGTGTCTTTCTAAGATTCCGTGGGTTCATTTAAGTGTTGAAAACACAAACTAAACATCTGCTGCTTGTGACTTAAAAATCAAGTCTCACTTATCATTCCTTTCCCAAATGATCACTCTTTGCCAAATGGCGTATGAGTACTGTGAAACTCATGCTGATTTAGGCTTTTCAAAAATGAGGACATGTACAAAAGTACAAACTTCCAGTTATAAAATAAGTAAGTCCTGAGATGTCATTAATGTACAGCATGGTGACTATCTTACCTAATAATAGACAAACATGTAAATTGACCATACCTTTGCTACGATAACCAGCCAATCAGGAGAGTATGCAAATAACCCAACAAAGATGGCGGTTGATTTGCCTACATGGGCTCCAAGCGGTGGAGCAAAGCCTGATGGCCCCGGGGCCGGAGCAGTGAAGGCTGACGGCTCTGGGGCCAGCTCCAGCAGGAGCCCAGCCAGAGCGAAGGCCTGGGTCCTGGGTGCCAGAGGCAAACCGGTGTCAGCAGCCAAGGGAAGGGAAGGCCTATTGCACGAATCTCTTCGTGCAACAGGCCTCTAGTAGTTAATAATCCTATATTGTATATTTGAAAGTTTCTGAGAGAGTAGATCTTTAAAGTTCTCATCACAAGAAAACAAATGTGCATGTGTGGTAATGAATGCTAACTGAACTCATTGTGGTGATCCTTTTACACAACATACAAATATTGACTCATTATGTTGTATACCTGAAACTTATACAGTGTCATATATCTCAATTTAAAAAATGAAGACATTTAATTTTTTAAAAGTTTTGATAAAAAGTATCAGACAATTGAATTCCTTTGTTCAAATTCTCAGAGTAGAGGAAAGGGCATATTACAATGGTTGGATAATCAATTACTCTGGATTTCTCAGAGTTATTATTCTTATGATATTTGCTAGTCTCAAATATTTCAGTTTTCTAGTTACTTGAACAAAAGAAACCAAACACCTCTATCTCAATTTGGGAAAATTAAACTCTGAATTAGAGTTAACAATACATTTTTAATATTGTTCATAAATCAACTTGGGGATAGGTATAAACAATTTATATCCTCAAAAAGATTTTACTTTTAAAAAGGATGAATGGCTGACAAATGGACTTGTGGATAATTACAAGGGACGCTCCAAGCAAAAGTTTTCAGTATGAGTTCCATATCTCAGTAATTATTGGTTCTCACTGAGCTCCATTTTCTGTAGAAAGGCTACAGATTAGACTATTTTGTGGGTTAGGAACCAAGGGAGGGATTGGAAATTACTAAGGGCATAGAGACAAAAGAAGTACCAAATGGGAGTGTTACCATACACATGACATCAATTTGATTTGAAACCAGGGATTTTTCTTACCATCATTGGAACCAAAGCTTCCATCAATGGATTTTCTCTGAAACCTGCAAAAAAAGCACATGCACATGCCCCCAAGGCAGTGAAAACCTCAGCATTTTACCTGTGTCCTCTATAGACTTTATTGCAGATTTGTCTGCTAGAATCTCTTAAAAATGGGCCTTTGGATGTGGAGAACTTGGGACTCTGATACATTGCTAGTAGGATTGTAAAATGGTGTAGCCACTTAGGAAAAGTTTGGCAGTTCCTCAAAAAGTTAAACATAGAGTTACTATATAATCCAGCAGTTCTATCCCTAGAGGTGCGTGGGAGCACACGCGCACGCACACACACACACACATATTCATTAATTTATTTTAAGATTCATTTATTTTCAGATAACTAACATACCATAAAATCCACACACCCTTTAATATACACAATTCAATGAGTTTTAGTATGTTCACAAAGTTGTGCAACTATCACTATTACCTAATTCGAGAACATTTTCATCATCCCCCAAAGAAATCTCAAATCTATTAGCAGTCATTCCCTATTCCCCTTCCTCCCAGCTCCTGGCAACCATTAATCTACTGTCTGTCTCTATAAATCTGCCTATTCTGGACATTTCTTATAAATGAAATATACTATATGTGGTCTTTCTTGACTGGCTTTTTTCACTTAATGTTTTCAAGGTTCATCTATATGACAGATGAATCAATACTTCAGTCATTTTATGGCTAATATTCCATTGTATGGATATATCACATTTATTGGTTTATACTTGGTGGACATTTTGGTTGTTTCAACTTTTTGACTCATGGCCCCTTCCTTTGTCTTTAGAGTGTATGACTCCAACCCCTGCTTCCATCATCACGTCTCCTCCTTCTGCCTTTGACCTTCTTGTTTCCCTTTTATTTATTTTTTTATTATTTTTTTTAAAAATATTTTTTATTGATTTTTTTACAGAGAGGAAGGGAGAGGGATAGAGAGTTAGAAACATCGATGAGAGAGAAACATCGATCAGCTGCCTCTTACACACCTCCTACTGGGGATGTGCCCGCAACCAAGGTACATGCCCTTGACCGGAATCGAACCTGGGATCCTTCAGTCCGCAGGCCGATGCTCTATCCACTGAGCCAAACCGGTTAGGGCTTGTCTCCCTTTTATATACGGACCCTTGTGATTACATTATACCCATATGGATAATCTGGGATAATCTCCATAATGTTATCACATCTGCAAAATGTCTTTTGTCCTGTAAAGTAACGTATTCACAGGTTCTGTATATTGGCATGTGGACATCTTTTGGGGGCCATTATTCTACCTACTATCCCATTTTAACAATATTAAGTCTTCCAACCCATGAACATGGGACATCTTTCCATTTATTTAAGTCCTCTTTAATTTCTTTCAAGGATGTTTTGTAGTTTTAATTAATTAAATGTGTTATTAGGTATTTTATTATTTCAATGCTATTGTAAATGGAATTGTTTTCTTAATTTCATGTTCGAATTGTAAATTGCTAGCGTATAGAAATCCAATTGATTTTTGTACACTGATCTTGTATCTTGTAATCTCAGTAAATGCAGAGCTTCTTTTTGGAGGTGATGAAAATTAGATAGTGGTGGTGGTTGTGGAACTGTGAATACACTAAAAACCACTGAATTGTATACTGTAAAAGGGTGAACTTTATGTTCTGTGAATTATATCTCAATAGCTATTATATAAAACCTATGTATACCATTTGAGAATGTCTACCAAAAATTTAAATGTGAATTACCCTCTTCCCCAAAGTGAGCCTCCCTTTTGAATATGAGGCTGGAGTGGAGGAGGAGGAAGGTTGGGGCTAGATGCACCTATACTTTGCTATATGCTCTTATTTTCTTCCAGACGGGGACTCCAGAAGTGGCACACTCCTGATCCTGGTAATTTGGTGGAGGAACTTCTCTTCATATCTCTTTTTTCTCTAGACACAGCAAATTCATCCCTGCCTCAGGGCTTTTGCTCTTGTTCTCTGCCTGGGCCACTCTCTCCCCAGATCCTCACATCGCTGGCTCCTTTCTGCTATTCAGTCTTGGTTCTGAGAGGTCTTCCTTGCTGAATTAATTAAATCTAAAGTAGCTTCCCCAATACAATCATTCTCTATCACTCCAGAATCTTTATTCTTCTCTATCTAGCTGAAATTATTTTATTAACTGCTTCCTTGCTTATATGTTTTTCTCTGTACCATGTAAGTTCTATTAGAGCAGGACTCTAGCTTGTCTTGTTCATCACTCTATCTTTCACCTCTAGGACAGGCCCTGCCACATAGGAAATGATAACTAAATATTTGTTGAATGAAAAAGGCATATCATTAAGGAGAGCAGTTACAATTTTGGCCTAACTGTTTAGCTGGCAAATAAGACTCTATTGAAGTCCCCTTTAAAAACAATTTTAGTGATATTAACCGGCAAACAATTATGTATTTGGCCTCATTAAAGATGATGTATTTGGATTGTGTGTTTGTATTAACAGGCTTTACCCACGCTTGCCCTAGCTTTTGGAGCTGATAAAATTTTTCATTAGAGGAGTTCAATGATTTACAAAGCCTGAGTGAGGCAGGCAGTATCCAGTAAGAAAAGGCAAAAATAGTAAATGAGAACTATGCTAGACATTGAAAATGGCTACACCTCATCTTGTATCCAGCTCCTTCAATCAAAAGTAGAGTCCATATCTTCACTTCTTAAATCGGGACTGACCTCATGACTTGTTTTGACCCACAGAATGAGGGGGAAGTAATACCATTTCTCAGCCTCATCTTAAGGAGGCCTCACACTCTTCTGTTATCTCTCCTGGAGATACAATAAGCCAGGGCTAGTCTGCGGGAGGGTGGGAGACCCAGCACTGCTGAGGGCAGTCCAGAAGAGCCAGCTCATAGATGGCTTAGCAGCTGGTTGCATTCTATGACCACATCCAGCTGAGATCCCAGCCCAGTCCAGCTGACCCACAGATTTTGAGTAAACTTAAATATTTATTGATGTATGCCACTGAAGTTTTTATGGTTGATTTTTATGCAGCATTATTGTGGCAATAGATAACTAATACAAGTATCCAGAGAAGGATGAGCACCCAGAATTGAGCAGTTTGAACTCAATGTCTGGCAGGGTGGTTGAGAGGAACATACAAGAGAATAGGTATGCAGTGCTTGGGCCAGGACCTGCACATTCATTGTGGGGGCTCCAAAAATACTGAATAGATTGGGTCTGGAGAAAGGGAGGAAAATGGTATTTAGTCATGTGTTCAAGAGAATATAGCATAAAAACACTTTGAGGGCGGGACATACCTCTAACCCAGCGGTTCTCAACCTGTGGGTCGCGACCCCATTGGGGGTCGAACGACCCTTTCACAGGGGTCGCCTAAGACCATCAGAAAACACATATATAATTACATATTGTTTTTGTGATTAATCACTATGCTTTAATTGTGTTCAATTTGTAACAATGAAATTGGGGGTCACCACAACATGAGGAACTATATTAAAGGGTCGCGGCATTAGGAAGGTTGAGAACCACTGCTCTAACCAGTGTTTCCATCCTAATCTCATAGCAGGTACTGAAAACCCCACATGTATTAATAATGGGGGGCAGGGGACTCATTTGGGTTTTGTAGAAAACTGTTATTTCTGCTTAGTTCAATGAAGGAAGAGTTGTATTAGCATTTTCCCTCAGTCTGTTCCCCTATTTAGAATGCCAACTAGTTCTTATGTCTTCAGATTTCTATTTTTAGTTTGTCTATATTTGGAAAGAAACTCTGCTCATGCATTGACTGTAGCAAAGTAATCTGGCAGCTTGAGGTTTCAACAGAGCCTTATAGCACAACTTTGAAAAACTGTGCTCACTTCAGTAGGTTGAATAACAACTGTAGAGAGATTGATATCCAGCTATTAACTTAATGTTTTGTCGGTGTGTTGACTATGCATGTTAACTAACTAAAGAGGTGAAATCCTATCTCCTCAAATCTAAAACATCAAGAGTAGAGACAGTCTTCCTAAGAGAAGCAGAAGAGCCGAACCTCTTATTCCATGACATTGAAGCTCATCTGAGTCAAAACTGGAAGCTTTTTGGACCTTTTCCCCAAGTGAATCCATTCTGGGGCTGCCCTCCCTTACATGCCCTGACCACTCTAGACCCATTTTGACCAGGCTGCTTAAGAGCTAAGGCTCTAGAGTCCGGCTGTCTGGTTTCAAACATTTACTGGCTGTGAATTCTTGGTCAGATTGCTTCATCTCTCTATGCCTCAATTTCCTTCACGATCAAATGGTGATAATACTAGTACCCATTGCTGTGGATCATTAGACAAGATCATCTGCTTAGAGAGTTTGGCACAGAGCAGGTACTTGTTAAATGTTAATGATTGTAATCTGATAAATTAATTGAGCTGATAATTAATGTATGTACTTTTAGGTATAATATTTGCCTGTAGACTGGAATCTTTGCTTTTAACTTTTTATTTGAAAATAACTTCAAATTTATGGAGACCTTCTTATAAGAATATAACAGTCACATACCATTTACCTAGATTCACTTATTGTTAGTATATTACTCCATTTGCTTTATCAGTTTTCTCTTT